TATATTAATATGTACAACTAAAATTACTAATAAAGATATGAGCAAGGCCTCACCTTAACACCAAAAAAAAAAAATATATATATATATAATATTACACTTTGTATAGATGCTCTAAGTTTTTAATATTAGATGAAACCTGACTTAATATATTTAAAATATATTTAACTAATCAATAAAAAAGAATTATTATAATAATAATTTCTAAAATTTACTATTTATAAGATTTAAACCTTAAGTCTGTTACTTGAAAGTTGATAATCTGTTTATTTTATTAGATTATTATATTCTTGAGTAACTTACTTATATATATTAAAATAATGAATATTATTTAGAGAATTTATACTAAAAACTAAATAAGTCTTAACATTCTAATAAGTCTAAATTGTAGATAAATTAGATAGTATTATTAAGAATATAGTGACTTAGTAAAATAAATAAGTTGTTACCTTTCAAATAGTAGGTTGTAAGTTTAAAAATTATTAAAAACAAAATTTAAAAATATATATCTGTATTATGTTAATAATATTTTGTTAATTAATTAAAATAAAATATCTGTAACTATAATACAAATTCAAGATAAATTCTTGTAATATGTAAATTTGTAAAATTGAGAAAACCAAAACCTATTTGAAAAAACTTAAGCAGAGAGATAATACAGATCTTCAATAATACTATTATAAAGACTAGATTTAAAAAATAGATATCAATATAAAAAAATCAGACAGATAAAATTTTTAGATGAGTGATATTACTAACTACATTACTAGAAATCTTAAACTGAAAAAAAAATATTAAGTTGGATTTAGTATACCAGAAACAGGTTATAATTCTACTAAGCTATCTGGATTAGAAGTCAGATGATAAAGCAAAAATATACTATAAGTATTAGAGATATGCTGTAAAATTAATATTAAAATCTGAGTAAACTTTGCAAAAGCAAACCTTATTAATGTTTTATAAAAAGTGAGTAGATTAGTTAACAAAGAATCTTCTAAAACCTTACAATCAAATAACATAGTTTAAAATATGTATGGCTTAATAGACATACAAAAAAAAAGACAAAATGTTGGATTAGATAACACTTAGATGTATGAAAGCCAGTGCATTATCTGTTAGATATAGTATAGGAATCAGAATATTTAATTAATCTCTTAGTAGATTACAGATATAATAATTAGTATAGAACCTGCAGACAGACTATTTAAATAGGTAACCAAAAATTACATATGTGACTAGTTGCACACTCATCAAAGATAATATTATTTATAATTTAAATCTTATTCTTATAAAAATTTGTAAACAATTATGATCACTATGACCAGAGAAACACCCTTGTGAATTCTAAATACAAATTATAATAAAGATAAAGGCAAAACCTCTTTTTTTTTAAAAAAAAGTAATTTTATAGTATTTTGTTATTATTAAGTCTATATATTAAGTTGTTATGTATATTATTAGATATACAGTATATTTATGTTATTAACAACTGTACTAGAAATTCACATAATTGACATAAATTTCAGTATTATTTTCCAATTTTATGGATTTTATAGCTGATGGTCGTTTTCATCCTCATAGGAGGACATTCATACAATTCGCTGTTCAAATCAATTGCCTGAGTAACTTGTATAGTTTCAAGAATGTAACGTTTCACTCATTTCACTAACAAAAACACGAATTTTATTCATCTTTCACTCGTAAGAAGATTTACTATGCAAAATATTCCCAAAGCAATCCCAAAACTAAAATACTTCGTTTCGAAAACATTAATATTTATTACTATTAATAGCTAAAATAGCTATATACATGTACTACATGTACTGAATGCAAGGAAACGGTTAAATAAAGGAACGTTCAAGACATTTACAGTAAGTTTTTAAATAAACCTATTTATAAGTTATTTAATTTTATTTAATCAAAACCTTTTAGTATGGTTATCTTAATAAAGTTATGTAGAGTTAACTTATTGGATGGATATATAAACTTTGTTGAGATATAGATAGATATTGCGGTATTGCTTAAAGATATAGACTTGAGGTACTAATACACCATTTGTACAACAAATAAAATAAAATTTTCGTTGATAATATAATACCTGTAAAATGGTTTAACTGGTTTGGTAATCGCGTTTTGATCTGTATAAATTAATCAATCATATGGATGTCTTCCTATGATTGTTATGCCTTTAATAATAGTTGGTTTTAAACCTTCATAATATTTTAATGTTATCATCTTCGTAATCAGAAAATACAATATTTCCTGAAGAAATCTCACGCATCATCAATTGTCCATTTGGATTGCCACCTTCAGCAGATTTCAAATACCATTCAAATGCCTTTTTTTCATCTTTAACTGTGCCTATGCCTTTGTCATAGCAGATTCCAACATTAAATTGTCCATTTGGATTACCACCTACAGCAGATTTTAAATACCACTCAAATGCCTTTTTTTCATTTTTAGCTATGCCCATGCCTTTGTCATAGCAGATTCCAACATTAAATTGTCCATTCGAATTACCACCTTCAGCACATTTCAAATACCATTCAAATGCTTTTTTTTCATCCTTAGCTGTTCCTACGCCATTTAGGTAGCAGGATCCAAGATTTGTTTGTCCACATGAATTGCCACTTTTGGCAGATTTTAAATACCAGTCAAACGCCTTTTTTTCATTCCTAGCTGTGCCTATGCCTTTTTCATAGCAAAAGCCAACACTAAATTGACCGTAAGAATCCTCACCTTCAGCAGATTTTAAATACCATTGAAATGCTTTTTTTTCATCCTTAGTTGTGCCTATGCCATTTTGATAGCAGAATCCAATAGCATATTGTCCGTTAGAATTTCCATTTTCAGCATCTTTTAACAACAACTCAAATTCATTTTCATCCATGATAACTTCTGAACCAAATAAATAATAAAAGTTGGAAAAGTAAAATTTTATAAATTGTTGTCATATTGTATCCTTGCTAAGTACATATATATTAGGCTATAAGGTGAAAAGGAAATATGATTAATATTGATATCTCATGATTCATTGATTAGAATCATCTGAAACTTATGTCTCAATCGAATGACAAAATTTATCCGGTATTGATTGCTAAATCACGAGATATTTGAAGTTAATGCATTCTGCAAATTTTAAATAGTTCAAAATCAAATGACTTTATACCAATCGATTTGACACATTGAGAGGAACCAATTGGTATAAGAATTGTTCAATTTTGATTACAAATTCACTAAATATAACCGTAAAATATATCGATATAGAAAATTATTGTAAAAGGAGTATTATGACGAATCGAATCGTGATTATCATTATAGATATTGGCTAAATGGAAATTTTAACAATAAAAATGTTTACGTAGTAATAATTCCATTTTTGAATTCTACGTACGTACAGTACGTATCATGATATCTAGCGACTCAGTGAGTGATTTTTATGCCATTGAATTCCTCTGAGAGAAATCGAATTGTATACGAAATTGATGTTTAAAATAAAACTTTAAACATTTCAGGACGTATTGATCGGGAATCAACAGATTGTGGTATCATTCGATTCAGCTCAATGAAACGAATCAGACGATATTACATTCGATCAATAGATCACATGATACAATTTAAATACTCAGCATACTGTACCAAACATGGGTACCCCCGAGTCTTGTATCACCACTACATGGCAAAATATGATTTAAAGAAATCAATAATTGATTTTCCTCTATGCACGAAATTTTTTTTACTCCTCCCAAAAATAGTTAACAAGTTGTCGTCCATCACCTTTTCTCCGATAAATCGACTTATTCATAAGTCAATACCTCTTGTGATCTATCAACGTCCTTTGAAAATTCATATCTTGCCCACCTTTCCTCAAAAAAGCATTTTGAACCAATTCTCTACTACACAAACTACAAATATGAAATCTTATCTACAGTTAATTGGTAGTGGAACATTTGATGTACCACCTTCAATTATGGTTCATTTTGATAATCAACAAAATAGTCAAAGATATTTATTTAATTGTGGTGAAGGAACTCAAAGGTTTTGTTTACAAAATAAATTAAAAGCTTCCAAATTAAAAAATGTCTTTTTGACTAGAGTCAACTGGAATTGTTTTGGCGGACTTCCAGGTATGTAAATAAATAATATAAGGTAGACGGGTATTTTGACGAACTAATCAATATTAAATTTTTTATTTTTTTTTCGATATAAAAAACTTTTTTTTCTGTCATAAATTTAATACACGATGAAATCGTGGTATAACAATTGGTTTAGATGATAATGATCAGTGTCAAGAAATTCTAATTACGAGATTATCTCGAGATTTAGCAATCATATTTATGTGATTTTTGCAGCATTCGATTCCTCACTAAAAAAAAAAAAAAAAGTTACCGGTAAAAATTACTAAATCAGATAGTATAATGTGAAAAATAGTTTTGCGAAGAATTGAATAAAATTGAGATATTTCATGATTCAGCGACTAGATTCGAATAATTTTTTTATCATTCGGATCCTCTCACTGAGAAAATCACATGTATGTCAAACATTGCTCAAGCTGATCACTGAATTGCAATTCATTTCAGCAAAATATCCCTATCTGCCTTATATATATATTTAACAAATAGTTTGGTTGTGTGAATAAATGAAATATCTGAAAGATATTGATATTTAATTATACTATATATTATTTGATTTCTTTGTTAGGTATGCTACTTACAATGGCTGATGCAGGTTCCAAAGAAATTAAATTATATGGTGGCCCAAATTTGACACATGCAATAACTGCGACTAGAGGTTTTATTTTAAGGTAAATGGTTAAAAAAATATGATACGATTTTTAACAATAGTTGTCTTACGTGAAATTTCATTAATATATTGTTTAATAAATAGATCAACCATGTCAGTGGAAACACATGAATTTCAAGAAGATGGGATGACGTTCAAGGATGATAATATGACTATATACCCAATATTTTTTGATCCGGAAGAATCCAATAATAATATTTCATCCTCATCCTCACAAGGAGGGGTCAACTTACCATCAAAACGTGCTAATGATTCTACACTTGATACTGTCGATAATACATCTTTACAATATAAGAAAGAAATTTTATCTTTAATGTTTAATAAAAGTCATCAGCCTCATAATCCTAAAGGGACAAAAAAGTCAAAAACATACGAAGAAAATTCTGCATTAGAGATTTCCGACGAAGTACAAAGTGAAAAATCTTCATCCTCTAAAAATGATGATTCATTGATTCAACAACGTAGAAAATTATTTCCTAAGAGATTACCAAAATCAAGACCTTCATCAGCATCTATTGCTTACGTTTGTGTTGGACCAAAATATAAAGGAAAATTTGATCCACAAGCTGCTAAAGCCCTTGGTTTAAAGCCTGGACGCCAATATGGTTACTGATTGTTTGCTTCTTATATTTACATTTATTAGTTAACCCTCTAACTTTATTTATGATTTTTTACACGTTAGCCGACTTAGTGAATGGGAAAGCAGTAACTGCCCCGGATGGAACAATTGTTCATCCAAACCAAGTTTTGGGTCCCTCTCGAGCCGGTTTGGTAAAACATATTATTTGTACTAAATGTCATTATCCTATCAAATATATATATATATAATTAAATAAATTTTAATGACCATATTATATATTCCAGATCTTCATCATTATAGATGTTCCGTCAACATCTTACATACCTTCAATATGTGCATCTCCAGAGTTTGCCACGTATCAAACAGATAATAAAGATTTACAGCCTCGAATTATAATTCATATGCTTGGTGATGGTGTTTTGGAAAACGAGAAGTATCAAATATGGATGAAAAAATTTGGCCCAAATACTGAAGTAATAAGATTTTATCTTTTTATCTTAAATTTATTAACTTATTATATTCACATATTAAATCTCATCTCATTTTCATTAATTATATCAGCATGTTATCATGAATGAGCAATATTGCCCGCAAAGAATAATATTTAATAGCATTGCGGAAAGTCAATTAAAATTGTCCAAGATTGATGAAAACCGATTCCGTATACCTTATTATTCAAATCAACCTGAAAAACTATTAGATTCAAGTAAGATTATCATCGATTATTTTGATATTTAATTACTTCTCATAACCGATTTTTATTATTTTTTAGTTCCCAATATTCCAAAGACAACGCATTTAGCTGCTCCATTATTGACTTTTCAGATGGAGCCTTCATTCGATATTGATAGTTCCAATTTACCGGAATTATTTGATCATAATAACGAAAATTCACGAGCAGTTAAAGAATTAAATAAAAATATAGAATATCTTAAAATTGCAGCACAAGTACAAGAAGAAGTTGCGACAGCAACTCCTAAAGCAATGAATATTCCTGGGAATAATGTTATCGTTACAACTCTTGGTACCGGATCAACACTTCCTTCAAAATACAGAAATGGTAAATATTTTTATATATCAGTTTTATTTACTTTTGATATAACAAGTATTTGACCATTCTCAATATTTAGTGAGTTCAACACTTCTTACTATACCAAATGATGGGTCTATCCTGCTCGATGTTGGAGAAGGTACACTCGGTGCACTATTCAGACATTTTGGTCCATTAGGTAAAACTCGTGAAGGGCAAATTAGTATAGAAGAGCTTTTTAATAGTTTGAAATGCATTTTTATATCACACATGCATGCGGATCATCACTTGGGCATAGTTGGAATTTTATCAAAATGGAATGAGGTATGGCATAAATTCTTGAACTTCATATCTATTTGTTATATAAATTAATTATGTATCAATTTTTACAATATTAGTTAAAAAAAGATCCAAGTGGTTTTATTCATATTGTTGGACCACCAAAATTATGGAAGTGGCTTAGCGAGTTCAGTGATGTTCAAGACTTTGGATTATCCAGAACAAGGTTCATAGATAATCGTGATATTTTGTCTTTACAGAAACAAAGTGGATCACCTAAAAAAATTTCAAATAGGTATTCATGTTTTATTTGCATCTATTATTAGATATTAATTATATCTGTTTTAACATATATAAGTTATTATTCATAGTCTAAAATCATTAAAAGAATCCATAAATCTCAAAAGATTCGAAACCATAGAAGTTATTCATTGTCCATTTGCCTTTGGAATAAGTATTGAACATTTAGATGGTTGGAAAATTGTGTAAGCGTTACAACCAACTTTTCATGACAAATTAAAATAAAATTTTTAATTCGTAAATTATTTTCATTTTAAGATATTCTGGCGATACGCGCCCATGTGATGATCTTGTGAATGTAGGAAAAAATGCAACGCTTTTGCTTCATGAGGCAACATTTGAAAATGACTTGCTTGAAGAAGCTTTGAATAAAAAACATAGTACAACTGAAGAAGCTGTAAAAATTGGAGAACGGTATTTTGAATTTTCTTAGGTATAATTAATTACTGAAGTGCATTAACTTACATAACTATCATTTTTTCGTAGAATGAATGCACATTCAATATTATTGACTCATTTTAGTCAAAGATACCCCAAAGTACCTGTATTCACGGATGATCACGGTAAAGTTGGAATTAGTTTTGATTTTATGCAAGTAAATATTGGTGAATTGTATAAATTGCCGAAATATGTTAAAGCTCTTAAGGTATTATACTGTGAAAATAGTGAAGAGGCTAACGATTCTAAGGATGATGATTGGATACAAGAATAAATTATAATCATTGTTACATCTATTATAAATTTTTATAGCAATTTTATCCTTTAGATATTTACGCATTTAATTATTAGTTTCTGATTATTTTGTGTTGGTAACTTTATAGTAAAATATTTAGATGTATCTCATTTTCTGTTTATAGTTATAAACTAATTCAATATAAAATGATTTCTACATGGTAATAAGTTATTATGACCAGGCATTTGTGTAAGCGAAAAAGATTATTAATTATATAAAAGAGTTGAACCGAATAAACAGAATATTAGGAGAATTATATACTATTCTTATATATATATATATATATATTATAAATTTTTAGCCAAATAAATTATCTAAATAATGGGAATGGGCGTTCGAAATTATACTCTAAAAATAGTGTGGTCTGTTTAGAAATCGCGTCCCGAAATAATGCGAATCTCAATAATTTTATTCGTATTTTTTTAACTTTCACAATAAAATACTTGCACATGATAACTATGAAGAATCTTAACTGTTATCATACGCGAAAAGTCTACGTGTTATTTCAAATAACGCCCATAGGCGTACTCGAAATAATGCGCAGATGCCTATTATTTTGAGAATTTATAGCAATTAGGCTATTGTTGAAAAAATCAAAACTGTGAATTATAATTTCTTTACTATTATTTTTTATCATGTGATACCTTGATATTATTAACTACTTTTTTAATGCTAATCTTTCTAAATGCTCTATATGACTTGTTTTTAGAAAGGTTTGATATTAATCTTAGCATAATTGAGATAATTATAAAATTCTTATCAAAACAGGTTTTATTCTGATTTTAATTTGGGGTACAACATACTGTATCTGTAAAAAATTAATAACTTACAAATAATACTAAAAATTTGAATAATGTAAAAAACAAAAAGTCAAATTTTGTTATTTAAAATTTCAAGTATTTTATGCTTGTGCTAAAATCTCATTTTATATACTGACAAATTTTTCAATACATAAGCAGGATTATAGTAACATGCACCTGTTATACATTACCTAGAATTTAACTCATGAATCTTTTAATGATAGGGTAATTTGTTCTTATTTACTAACAGATGACATGCTTTAAAATGGATAATGGTCTGTATATAAGTTCAGAAAGAAAACAACCAAACTTGAATAGTCTTCAATAAGAGATAGCATAGGTTAAACTTAGTAATAAAGTTAGTGTTATACAAGTATTGAATTGAGATGTCAGAAAGTTAAATAGAATTTTTACAAGTAAAGTCAGATATAACATCTAACAAATAATCTTAAAATAAAACTTTTAAATAGATAATAATTAAAGTTGCATGTAGGGACGCAAATCACTAACTCTTTCCGACGATCACTTGTACCAAATCCTTTCTAAACAAAACTGCTCTTTTCTCAAATT